ATGTCCATCACCAATTAACTCTTCTCTGGTCCCCTCTCGGATAACACTTTGTGCTTCAAGGGTGTTGCGCTAGATGAATGATGGGTTACTTCCTATCTTCCCTTCCAAAACAGAAGACTGAGGGAAATATCGTGCTTTAAAACCTCTGCTCACTAGAGAGTCTGGGTCAATAGTAAGTCTTCGGCCTTGTTTACCCAACATGGTTGCATTAAATTCTCTCACCGAGCTGTCCCCCAACCCTATTTTACATTTAGGCCTACATAACGCTTCTCAGGACTTTCACCGTTTCCCCCTCCCCTCCAGATCCTTCCCCGCCACCAATAGTCATTAATCAGTCTCTCGATCTTTGAAAAGAGATCCAAAGGCAGTAGAATACATTCATGGCATAGGAAGGCATGCCTGAATAATGATCGTCTTTATAAACACTTCAATACATGTTTTGGACAAGAATATGTTGTTCGAGTTTGTGATACATTTTATAATTCTCTCTCTCAAATATGTCAGTATCTTTGTCTTTTGTCTCCCTACTAATGTAGGCAGTCCCAAACAGCGAACACATGTAGGCAGCCCCAAAATAGCTAACACATCATCCCTGCAGAAACACTCAAATTATTGCATATCTTATCTTTCACATAATCTGGAACATCAGGGCTAAATGAAATAGAGGATTTCAAATTTTGTTTTTTTGCCTTAAGGCACAAGCTTACATATGTAAAATTCCTTTGATCACCACACTTTCCTCCTTCATTGTCCTAAAAAAAAAAAGTTGTCATCTACAAAAAATAATAATAAGTGGGATATTTTTTATGCCCCTGATCACAGAAACACCATGGATCTTCCTCAAGGTCTCATTCTTCCGGATAAGCAAGCTCACCCTCTATGCTACCAAGATGAATAAATATGGGGGTAGAGGGCCCCCTGACGAAGTTCCCTTTAGTTTCTAATCAGCTTGATCGTTGCACTATCAAAAGGAATGCAGTACTCCACGTACCCCTACCACATAAGCTCAGATGAGACAAATCCATTTAGGATCATATCAAACCCCATAGCTCCCATCACCTTAAAAAGAAAACCCCACTCCACCATGTCGTAAGCTTTACTCATGTCCCATTTAAGAGCAACATAACCACCTTCTATATCAAATGCTAACATAACATTGTCCAGTATAGATCTGCCCGGAATGAACACACTTTGGACATTTGATATAAGGTACTTTAAGCAGTCTCTTAAAGAGTTTGCCTTTAACTTAGCAAAGTTCGATCTTGTATATAACAGAACATAAGTCTCTAGTCTCCCATATTTTTGGGACACTCTTTTTTGGGTTTAAGATTCAAGTTTGTACCATTAACCCCGGTAGGAAGACAACCACTCTCAAAAATATTTTTGCAGTAATTATAAACTCCTTCCCCCACAATTTCCAGTAATGTTGGAAAAAATCTTGATTAAGCCCATTGGGTCCTGATGCCTTGTGAGGGCACATTGCAAAGACCACTTTCTTTACCTTTCCCGTTGATAGACCTGAGCAAATGACCATTATCACTACTCGATACTAGCACTAAACCCTGCAAGTCCTCCTTCCTCACTGTAGCACCATCAGACTTAAAGAGATATCTCGGATCAGAAGTATACAACAAACACTTCTAGGACTTAGATATATCACAGTATTTAAAATATTATTGATTGTACAATCATAAATATATGACCTCCACCATCCCTATAATCGGGCGGAAAAATCGACTATATACGGTTGAAATTTTGACTATGTTTTAGTCATATTTTGAATAATTTATTTATGCAGATCAGACTCGGCCAGTTTAGATTAGATCAAGTTTTGATAGTTATAAAATACACATCAAACATATATCTGCCCGATCATATCAGATCATATGAAAAGATTTCAATCCAATTTCATACAAGAGAATTTAATTTGATGACTAGAAGTTGAAGACAAAGTTTTAACTTACGAGAAAGAACCGATTAAAATTATAGCCAGAGATGTAATAGTTTTGAGAAACAAAATCGCTTGTAAAAGTCATTTGAAAAAGTGATTTGGAAAACTGAAGAAACAATATACTTGCTCAATATCCAGGAACGTTTGGAGACGAGTTTTGATTTAATCTCCATTTGCTTTCTTTTCTCTCTATCTTTCAAGTTTTTCTTTATTCCATAGACTGACTTACACCTACGTATCTGGTATATCCTCTTTTTCTACACTTTTTCTTTCACCCACTACACCTCACACTACTGCAGAGTTGCCCCATTAGGACGCCATCTTGTGTTCAATGCCGTTCTAGTCATCAAATTAAATTCCAACCTAAAAATCAGTGCTCCTAAAACCAATACAATATCAAATCAAGAAGCGGCCGTACAACCACTAATTTAATTTGTATTTACACCCCGTATAAAATCATATTGTAATGATTTTCTTTCAATTTTGTACTTTTTTATGAGATGGAAAGGTAATTTGTGTTATTTTTTCATAGAATGTTGATACGCTTTAATGCAACGTAAATCCTTTACTTCAAATTACAAGTTGTTAAAGAATGTTTTATCATTGTAATATAAAAAATGTACGTATGATTTATGGGGCCTATTTAAGAGACAAGCATTATATATAACCATTGGTGGAAAATGAGTTAGCTAGATGTAGTTGATGTGGCAAACAAAAATATGATGTATGTAGCTAGCCATTGTTAGGTTGATTCTCTTAGAGGCATGAACTTTGAGTTTTGGAAACACCAAAATTTTAGGGCCCCTAAAATTCCTGGACATTATTTTATGGAGTAAAATTTATTGAACCTCTTGAACAACGGCCGTGAGGACGGTTCGTAGATTACAAGATTAGAACATCTCTAATGCTACAATATGCTCAACAATTTTCTTTCTTTCTTTCTTTCCTTTCACTGTCATATTCGCTTTTGGTAACTTTTCCTCAACCATATCAGCTATAATGTCTATTTAAAAAAAAAGAGGATAGGTAGTCGGGCTTTTACAGGAATTTGCTTATTAATAAAATAAAAAATATATATGAAAAAATAGTTAAAATGATCATCTACAGTATCTTCAACCAATACAGCAGAAAGTAACTCCAACCACATTTTTCATTATCATTACACAATTCAGCACGTGATACAAAAAGTTATGTGTTTGATGGAAAAGTTAAATAAGTCTGATAAGCCGAAAAACATGATTATCAAACGGGTGTATACCTCAACCGTCGACGGTCGACATGTGAATTACCAAAAAAAGACAGGATAAGAGGGGCAAACGCGGGTTGGGCGGACTTGTTATGGCCCCTCTGCCAGAATGGGAGACCCACTACTATGTTAGCTGTACCGGCAAGTTCTGATGTTGCGTGGAACATGAACATTTTCTTCTTTTGTACGAACCACCAATTTGATATCTATAATCTTAAATAGTTAAATTTCATCCATCTTGGCCGCCCGGTATTGTCGCTTCAAAAATGAAAATATATGCACGTAAAACTTAATAAAGTACTCCTTCCATGTGTCCCATGTTAAAGCTCTTATTTGGGTGCACCTAAAAAGTTTAAATAAACATTTTTCATACTCCTATATAGTCCTATTAAATTTCATAGATTTAAAATTCGACCAATTTCAGATGTATTCAATATAAAATACAGAAGATTCTAATAAGTTTTATTTGGATGTCCCCAATTAAGAATTAGATTGACTCCATTAAAATCTGAAAGTACTCAATTGTGATGGCTTTCTATGGACTCTATTCAATGGCAGATTTAAATTGTTTTTACGGATTTCTATATTAAGAAACACTACATAGATTCCTGTAAAAGCCCGACTACCTATCCTCTTTTTTTGAATGAACTACCTATCTCTAAACTCTATCAATCCTTCAAAATCTTTCAACATAGAATCTTCCATTTTGTTTGACAAAATAGAATCTTCAATTTTTTAAAAAGTTTAATTTAATTTATATATGAAATAAGAAGATAAATATCATATATTTTACTCGAAATTTGGGTACAAAAAGAGAAAGGGATAATCCGCTAACTAGTAACTATGAGTAAATAAAAATTGCAAGAATAGGAGTAATTATTGCTCTCTATGTGAATTCTACGTACTCTTAATATATTTTAATATTAAGAAAATCATATTTTTATTTATAAAAAATATCATCAAAAAATGTTGGCATCTTTCTGTTGCCGCCGTCTTCAAGCACGACAGTGTTGATTTCCAGAAAAAAATTGCCAACATTTTAATGTGAATGTCATCTTAAAGACATTTTCAAAAGAAAAATATGACATGTTTGAATTGTAATAATGCCATCAACATGGCATTTTAAGAGCCCCTAGTGGTATTCCTGTTATGTCGATTTCCCCATCCAGTGGCGACCCCACCCCCGCAAGTTGACTTCCCCTCGGTCAACATCAACCTTGGTCGACTTGCCCTTGATCAGCTTCCTAACAATTGTGGGGGCATTAGCTTTGTGAGATGCAGTGGTGGCACCAAAAGTGGTGGTGGTAGCACCGACGGTGGAGGTTGGTAGCGTCAATTGACTACCGAAGAACGCGACGACGATACCTCCTGCTAGTGTTGTACATGGTTGAAAATATAGGAGGGTAAAATTGGATGAATGGTAAGGGAATTAAAATAGTTCTATTTGCTAATCTAAGCATCATTTAACTCTTATGAGAGCAATAACTCAAAGAGAAATAACTAATCTTTATTTTCATCTCATGAGACATATAAGTCAATTTTTTTAAAAGAGGTAACTTTTAATTTCACATGTTAAATTATATACATAATCAAAATAAATAAGATTTGATCAATTAATTTGTAGGGGACTGTTTTATCTATTAGGGAGTATCATGTAAATTTTCTCAGATTTACAAACTTCATAGAGAATTCAATCAAATTCCGTGTTAGTTACGTTGTTGTTGTGTTAGTGCTTAAAGTTTCTGAATCATTTCTCCCTACAGAAAATGGTTCAAGTTTTTTAATAGTCAAATAAAGAAAAAGGTGACAAAGATTAAACGGAAGGAGAATTGTATTTGTATTAAATGACATTCATAACATGGATTTCGAAGACTGTAAAAAGCGAGTAGTAACAATCTTCAAGTTCTAATGTACGTTTGCAAATTGCAATTTGCAAATAAATAAATTACACTATAACTAAATAATGGAAGGCAAAATAAAATTTCATGCTCTACTGCCTTGCTAATTAACGTACAGCTGCAATTTTCTTCTTCAGGAGAAGAAAGAGAAATTGAACGGAAATGCTGTGGCGGCGGCCGGCGCCATGTCCAAGAACTCGTCGTGCTCGTCCTCCATCCCGACTTCGCCGAACATACTACAATAGGCTCCTCCGGCTTGTTCTTCGTCGTGAACATTTGTTTCCAGTTTACCATCATTACCATTATTATTATTGTTATTATTATTAATTTTCATATTATTATTACTGCGGTGTAATAGTAGGTCATCATCCGGTCTGGACGAGGAATGCAGCAGCTGATGGGTGAGATTTGTTGGGACAGCGGAGGGCGGCGGCAGCGGCTGCCGCCAGACAATATGATTTGCGGAGGATGGTTTGGAAGAAGAAGCGCCACCGCCACCACCGCCGAAATTTACATGACGGTGGTCGTCTACCGTAAAAATAATGCTGCCGCTGTTGGTCTCGCTGGCGTTGTTGGCGGTGTTCCAGGAACAGCCTTCCGTTTCTTGGTTCAGATTTATCGTGGCGGGGCCCGCACCCTTTGATTCTCTATTCCTCAGTGCCAGTAACTGCAGCTAGCATCACAATCATCACGCATTTATCAAATGTTTGAAAACCAGGCCAATCATTTGGTTATTATTATTTTTACCCTAAAAGTGAAATTAAATGAAATAAAATAAAAAAGTTTCCACTCTCGGAGTAGGACCCCATTGTCTATCACATGTTATCTAATTTGCTTACATATTTTTATACTTGGATTAAATTAAACATGCACTATAACTTCCACCATTATTTTATCCATTTTTCTGCATTTACGGTAGTCCGAGTATTACATCCTGGCTCAACTAATTAAACTTCCGGTTTCTTGGTATACATGATTGACTTTAACATTAGTTATAGTATTATACTAAAACTCGGTCAAATTTGACTTGAACCAAAAACAATAAAAATAAAATGAAAATTGTGTCATTGAAATTTGTATTGATAAGATAGAAATTACTCCTTATTTTAATCACATACAGTATATATTACGTACTTTATTACGGCAAATCGAAGATTTAGTTAAGTTTTATAGGACCAAGAGAGTATTATTTTAAACTGTCCCCGAATAGTATAAAAATATAGATAAAATGTACAAATGGCATATCATTTAGTTCATGAGTCTTATTTTAAGAAAAGAATCATTATTATCCAATTTTCACAGTGTTTTTTTTATCTTTAAGGGATATTTAAGCATTTTTCTCTTACTATTATTAATGTTTGTATGAGTAAAATTTTGATAAAGAAATACTCAGTAGAAGTTATCTCGTACTAATAAAGAGTAAAATTCATTCTTGTTTTGAAAAAATGATGATCATGTTTTAAAATGGGTTATGTTGGAAATTTTCACTATTTAGTACGGAGTATTACTATCGATAATATAATAATAATACTACATTTAATCACTCATTGTGAAAACATATCATGTACTACCTCCGTCCCACTAAGTTTGGGACCAGAGAAGATGGCACAGTTATTAATAAAAGTGGTTTATGTGGCTGATATTGAATTGATAAAGTAAGAATAAAGTAGGAATGATTTAGAACCACACAAACTTTACCAAATAAGGTATGAGACAATCTTAGTGGGACGGACCGAAATGGTAAAATGGGACAATCATAGCGGGACGGAGGGAGTACTAAATAAAGTGTTCAATAATACTCCCTTTGAGAGTGATGGTATTATAATAGAACTTTTTCAAAGGTAATCAACTTTGGCCACTACCTTTGACTCAAAGTTAAAGTCAAAGTAGAACTTTTACAAAGAAAGATGGAGTGTTTGTGAGGTTGACTTGTAAGAATTCCAAACACATGCCAAATACAAAAACCTAAACCCCCAAATCTTAATATAGTGTCAAATTTGTTTTGTTTGGATAATAGTACTAGTAAGAATATGTAAGCTCAGATCATATATTAAACTTGGATTTGAAATTTACATACATATAGTAGTTGATAATTGGTGGAATTAAATTAAGGAGATGATAGGATTAGTGTTAATTATACATACCTCAGAGTGAAGCTTCTTGTTACGAGATTTGAGGGCATTATTGTCAGAAGAGAGGGCTTCAAGCTGCCTCTTCAACAAATCGTAATCCTTCTCCAACTGCTTGGTCTTAGATCTAGCGCGGCGGTTCTGGAACCAGATCGCGATCTGCCGCGGCTGCAACCCCAAAGCCCTCGCCAGCTCCATCTTCCGCTCCGGCTCCAGCTTGTTCCCCTGCTCGAAGCTCTTCTCCAGCGCCTTCACCTGCTCCAGCCCCAGCCGCCGCTTCTTCTCCCCGAGCTGCGCCGACGACCCGTCATCCGACATCTCGTCCTCGCCGCCCCGCGGCCGCCGCAGCATCACATTGTCCTCCCCGGTATCCCATCCCCTGTCCCCGCCGGTGACGAACGACGACGACGCGGCCGACCTCCTCCGCCTCATCAGCATCTGCGAGATGCTGTTGCTGTAGTCCAGATGGTGGGAAGGGACGCTGAAATACTGGGGTTCGTCCGGGTTTTGGAAAGTGGTGATTGAGGAAGCTTCTGGCGGCGGCGGCGGGAGCGGGGAGGCGAAAGTCATCATGCCGCCGCCATTGCCGCCGGAGATCATGTCCATCATCATGCAATAGTATATGGTACTTACTGAATTAAATTTGGGTATTGATGATAATAATAATGGGCAGTCAACTCGATTTCCCTCTGCTATAACGAATTTAGGCAAGCAGTGATATGATGGGGTGGTCGAGATTGCTGCTGCTATGGAAGTAATTAAAGGGGGGAGAGGGAGAGAGAAAGTGAGATGGGGAAAGAGAGAGAGTGAGGGAGGGGATGTTATGGCCGGTAGGAGTGGGAACATGAAGGGGGAAAGAGAACATGGGGTGGCAATATGTCAAGACTGTGAGCCAACGTGTCATAGAGAGATATTCATACCATAAGTTAGAGTGTTTTGCTTCTTCCGGGCCGTCCGATCAACAATTCAACGGTTGAAGATATTAGACTCCACTTTTTTGCTGATCTCGAGGCTTGCTTTGCTACTGTTCGACTGTCCGATGGGCAAGGCACCGTTCTAGTCGGGCAGATGATCCCAATCCTATATATATTCCACAAAAATGCTATTGTTACACACTTTTCATACACATACATACACACTCATGTCTGTATAGGTTTTTTTCGTATGTATACACGCTCATGAAAAGTGTGTACCTCAAACTGAATTGTATATACTCCAACTTCTCCGTGATGGTTTCATTTTTGGAGTAGATTATACCAGACTTATATAATAGTAAATCCCAGAATGCTCAGGTCCGAATGTTCGGACAGGAGCCTCCGTTCGAACACCGCCGTTTGGAGCGGTTCCTGGTGGAATTTTTTATGAAATTTATTGAGCATGTTTCTCATCAAGTCTAATTTATTCAAAAAAGAAAATTAGTTCAAAATTCGATCGGGAAGGCCTTTAAATAATTTTTTGAAGTTGACTGTGTTTTCTGTGTATAATTATGGTGCAAAGTCAAAGTTTTTTTAAATGGGGTGCAAAGTCCAATATCATCCAAAAAGTGGGATGCAAAGTCAAATTCCTCCTAAATTCAAATACTCCCTTAAGTATATGTTTCTTGTTTGAACTTTAGTTTTTCATAAATTTGATAAATTGATAAATATTATTCATATGAAAATCTATGAATTTATACGGAGTATATATCAACAAATTAAAGTTCATTCATAAAAATTCTATAGATTTAAAAGTCTATAAACTCTTTGAAAGTTCTGAATTAAATGCACCATACATATAATTCATATAAAATACACACAGTGACCCATGTTCTTTGGATCTATGACACCACGTTATTTTACAATTGTACAAATTTGCCATTTTCCAAACCCAAAACAAAGAATAGTGTTGTCATCAAGTAAAAAGTTAACAAAATGATCTTTGTACTCACTCTTATACCCACTTTTGTACTCACCTATGTTTGTGAAGTGTTGTTTTTTTGTTTGTGAACCCCGATTCACAGACAATATTTTGCACAAACAAAATATTGTCTATGAACCGGGTTCACGGACAAAAAAAAAGTTTCACAAACATTGTGGGTATAAGGTGGGTATAAGAATGGATACATCAAACATTGTTGAAAAGTTAAACACATCACTGAAACGATAAGTTAAGCAAAGAAAACCTGATGCTATTTAGCTCAAACATTATTTGTGAGCGACTAAAAGACAAAATAAATCTTTGAAAATAGAACAGTCGTTAAGCTGGCCGCGTGCATTTATATCGAACGGAGCAATCACAAATTCCGTTTGGCTATTATTCCATGATAATAACTACTTATAAAGTTATACAAATATACCCTATGACTATGAGAACAAACATATTATTTTTTGGGGGAAGAAATATACATCTGTGGTTTATGTGGAGGTACATATATGCTCCCGAACTTTTAAAAGGTGCATATATACCCCTTATTGACTTTAAAAAATAAAATAAAATCTTAAAAACATTAAAAATGAACAATAAATTCGAAATTGAAAAATAAAAATTAAAGAGCTAAAAATAAATACTATTTTTATGTTAAAACATTAATTCTTTGATTTTACATTGAAAAATTATTATTGTTTCCGTTGTAAATGAAGCACTTCAATTCCTAAATATTAATTTTACTTTTTTGCGAAATTTTGAACACATTGTTACATTTTTTGAGATAACATTTTTTATTTTGTTTAACCTTGATAAAATTGAATTCACTATTTTGTAATCTTGGACTATTATCATCATATAAAATATGTATTTTTAGTGCAAAAGATACAAAAAATTAATGATTTTTTTACGCTGCAATGCATTTATTAACACTTTTGCGAAATAATCTTAAATATATAATGAAATTTTCAAATAATAGTTTATACTAACAAATAACAATATTAAACTGTGGTATAAAATAATAAAAGGGAGGATTGGACAAGTAGATTTTTTTTCAAATTAAATTTATAATTTATTTTTGGTGTTTTTTGAAATTAATTATATTTATTTATAGGAACATGAAATCTGAGGGTTACATATGCACTTCCACATAAATCTGAGGGTACTTTAGTTCGAGAAACTAGAATAAGAATATATTTGTTCTCACTACCATATTAGAAAGGTATATTTGTACCTTATCCCTAAATAATAATAATAATAACTGAAAAGTATATATGTTGTTAGGTTTAAGATTTAATTTCATATGCTTTTGGGGGATCCTTATAAAGAAATATTTTTGAATCTTTCTCAGGGCATTGCAGAACATGTGCGTAATTGTTGGGCGGGCATTGAAAAATATAAGGGCTTGTTTACTAACAGAGATATTTTCTAGTTTTCCAGAAAACTGGAAAATTGGAAAACAGAAAACAGGAAACGTGTTTACCAAAGAAATTGCTGGAAAACTGGAGAAAGGAAAAAAGAAAAACGTGTTTACAAAATCGTTTTCCAAAATGAAAAAAATGAGACATGTCTCTCTTTTCCTTAATGATTTAGAGAAGTGACTTTTACTAGTTTTCCAAATTTCGAAAATGCAGATGCTACAGTGTCACTGCAATGAATTTGCATACTTACACCTAGTGGTGGGTCCGGTCCCGCTCTGATTTCGATTCCATTCTGGTACATCCATCCTCGTACCTTACCCCTTACCCCTACCCTACCCACCCCACATACCCATTTTCCCTATAATGACCCTACCCCACCCCCACATGCCCTTACCCCACCCCCCACATGCCCCTACCTCAGCCCCACCCCGATCCACGCTACCCTACCGCCACCCCCTACCACCTCGACCCCACCCCACCCTACCCCACCCCTACCTTACCCCTTACCACATGCCCCCAACCTCGGCCTCGGCCTCACCCAACCGCCATCCTACCCCCACCCTCGTACCGCCACCCTACCCCCACCCTTGTACCGCCATCCTACCCCCACCCTTCCACCATCCTGCCCCCGCCGCCATCCTACCCCCATCCCACCCTTCCCCTACCGCCATCCTATCCCAACTCTCTACCCTACCCCTACCTAACCCCAACCCTTACCGCCATCATATCCCAACTCCCTACCCTACCCCTACCTTACCCCAACCCCAGCCCTACCCACTACCCCCACCCTTACTACCATCCTACCCCCCACCCTCTACCCCTTCCCTACCTCAGTCCCACCCCGGCCCCACCCTACCGCCATCCTATCCCAACTCCTACCCTTACCTTACCCCAACCCTACCCACTATCCCAACCCTTCCCACTACCCCAACCCTACCCCACCCTTACCCCTAACCACGACCCTAACCCACCCCCTACCAACCCCTTACCCCTAGACCTTACCACCTCACCCCGACCATACCCCTTACCCCACCCCACCCACTACCCCGACACCTACGAGTAGGTATGGGTGGGTATGAAGGGTTGTGGGGGAGTATGGGTAGAGTGTAAGATCATGGTAAGGGTAGGGGTAAGGGTCAAGGGTCTGGAATTGGAGAACTGGGTGAAAAAATTGATGAACATGTTTTCAGATTTGAAAATGGAAAACTAAAAAATAGAAACAGAAAATTGGAGATAGAAAAACTGAAAAATAAAAACAGAAAATTGGAGAACAAAAAACAGAAGTAGAAAACCGGAAAATATCTCTGTTAGTAAACAGGCCCTAGGGTTTACATAAATGTGGAAGTGTAAAAATGGCTTCACTTAAATTTTACTTGAATTGAATTTTTTTTTGTCTGATCTTGTAAATGTTTGAGTTCTGTGTATCTTACAATTGCAGAAGTCTAATTTAGTCAGATCTTATATGATCTGGGACTTAAATAAGTCCAAGTAAAAACATCCATATTTTTGCGGAGCATAGATTAGATCAAATCTAAATAGACCTAACCAAACTAGTTTTGCACAAATCAGATCATACATAGGTGATGGTAAAATACATACAATAGTGGATTTTATTGAATTAGACCACGACAAACCAGATCAATTAAACTAGTTCAAACCTCAAATACTAGCTCAACTGAATATATTCTAAGCACTGTAATCCATATCAATAATGAGCGTCATATGAGAATATTCAAGTATGAAATATTGGTACCTAATTTTGATTTCCCCACTTTTAAGTTGTTCAAATTTTGTGAGGAACACTTAGCCCTACTTCGATCATCTTTACCGCACCAGTACCGCCGATCTTCGAAAGATTCGAAATCGGAAAACAAAACCCTAGCGGCCACCACCCTAGAGAGCTCCAAAGCTTTAGAGAGATAAACTCTCACCTCCGTGGTCTGTTTTACCTATGTTTTTTTCATTATGGTTTTCTTTAGAGACATGTCTATCTTTTCCTTAATGATTTAGAGAAGTGACTTTTACTAGTTTTTCAAATTTGGAAAATGCAGATGCTACAGTGTCACTGCAATGAATTTGCATACTTACACCTAGTGGTGGGTCCAGTCCCGCTCTGATTTCGATTCCATTCAGGTACATCCATCCTCGTACCTTACCCCTTACCCCTTACCCCTACCCTACCCTACCCTACCCTACCCACCCCACATACCCATTTTCCCTATAATGACCCTACCCCACCCCCCACATGCCCCTACCTGAGCCCCACCCCGATCCACCCTACCCTACCGCCACCCCACCCAACCCCACCCCTACCTTACCCCTTACCACATGCCCCCAACCTCGGCCTCACCCCACCGCCATCCTACCCCCACCCTCGTACCGCCACCCTACCCCCACCCTCGTACCGCCATCCTACCCCCACCCTTCCGCCATTCTACCCCCGCCGCCATCCTACCCTTCCCCTACCTCCATCCTATCCCAACTCTCTACCC